TTTGAAGATGACTCGCTCCAAATTAAGGAAGAACTGGTTGGGCAACCCTCCAGGTTGAAATTCATTTCGATCGTTGGGATGGGAGGCATTGGCAAGACAACACTTGCAAGAAATATTTACAATGATTCATCTATTGAGTATCACTTCTACATTCGGGCCTGGATAACTCTGTCTCGGGAATATCGTGTGCAAGAACTGCTTCTACACCTTCTAAAATCCATGGGAGACCTCACTGATGAAATGATTCGAAAGGAAACAGATGAATTGAAAACATTAGTATATCAACGCTTGAAGGGCAATAGATATCTCATTGTTATGGATGATGTGTGGGATGCCAAAGTCTTCGATGAATTTAGAAGGATATTCCCGGATGACTATAATGGAAGTCGGATAATTATGACTTCTCGGCTATCCAGTGTTGCCGTTAATACCGACTCTTCCGGCTTTATTCACCATCTGAGTTTTCTAAGTCCCGAACAAAGCTGGAGTCTTCTGTGCCAGAAGGCCTTAGGGAACGAATGTTGCCCCCCTGAACTCAAAGACATTGGAAGGAGGATAGCAGAAAAATGCAGAGGACTTCCACTTACACTTGTAGTAATTGGTGGTGTCCTCTACAAAGCGGAGAAGAAACGAGCCAGTTGGGAGTATGTTGCAAAAAATGTGAAATCTGCAGTAACTGGAAATCATGATGATTTCATGGAAACACTATCTTCGAGTTACAACCACTTGCCTCATCGTCTTAGAGCATGCTTCCTTTATATGGGAGTTTTCCCTGAAGATTTTGTGATCCCGGTCTCCTATCTTATCAGGCTATGGGTTGCTGAGGGATTTTTAAAGCCAAATACACATAAAAGTTTGGAAGAAGTGGCAAAGGAGTATTTGGAAGAGCTTATTGAAAGAAATTTAATTATGGTTTGTGATCGGATTTGCACTGGAGAAATCAAGACCTGCAGCATCCATGACTCCATGAGAGAACTTTGCATGAGGAAAGCTCAGGAGGAGAAGTTTCTTTATGTTGCCAATCAAAAATTTGATACTTCGTCGGAAGTCGTGAAAAATCAGCGTCACCTAAGTATTCATCCATACGTGCTGAATGCAGTCATATATTACTCAACTTTTCGTTCACTTCTATACTTCAGTTTTTATCTATTACCAAATTCTCTATGTTTTCAACTTCTCAGGGTGTTGGAAGCAGGCAATATAGATTTCTCTGAGTTTCCAAAGGAAATATTAAAACTTTCTAATTTAAGGTACATTGCTTTGTCCTGCAGTGGGAAATTCAAGATTCCTGCCTCAATATCTAAACTTTGCAATCTTCAGACCTTGATTGTTTTTCAAGGTTATTTTGCTGAAAGATTGTTCTTACCACGGGAACTCTTGAAGATGCCACAGTTAAGGCATCTCTTGTTCGATAAAGCTGTCTTGCTTTGTTCTCATGGTCCACAAAATGTGAACCTACAAACACTTTCTGGTGTAATAGATTTCAAATTGACTCAGGAGACCCTTCGAACAATTCCTAACCTGAGGACATTGGGAATTTCTTACCATTGTGAACCTCAAACTGAGTTGTCATTCTATTGTCTTGAGAATTTAGTCCATCTGCATCAACTTGAAAGTTTTAAGTGCAAAGTCATTTCCAATGATTGGACATGTATTCCTTTGCCCCAGAACCTTGCTTTCCCACCAAATCTGAAGAAGTTAACTTTGAGTGGTTGCAGACTTTCTAGGCATAATATGTTTCCTGGTAATCTTCCCAATCTTGAAGTTCTCAAATTAAAAGAGGTTGCCTTCGAAAACAATGCATGGGAAACGGAAGGGGAATTTTCTCGATTAAAATTCCTGCATGTTGAAACCCGTCGTTTTAAAATCTGGGAAGCCGAGGCAGCACATTTCCCTAGCCTACAGTGCCTATGTCTTAGGGGTTGCACGAGTTTAAAATGCATCCCTTCTGGAATTGGAGAAATTCTAACTCTTCAGCAAATCATCTTGTATGGATGTACGATAACTGTTGAGAATTCAGCAAATTCAATACTAAAGGAACAACAAGACTGGGGGAACTATGACCTAAAGGTTCATGTCAATTCCAATTATTTTGGAAACAAAGATATCAATGGCAACCTCTACCGTAAGGTAAAAGTTTCCCTTGGGCATAAAGTATCTACTAAGAAAAAAATCCATTTATATTAACTGCACTGTTTATTCAACTTTAGTCTTTCAACACTAAGCTCTCATATGCATACCAAAAGATACTTCAATAAAGGTATGATACGTGATAATTTTTCATAAATCAGTCATAGCAAAGTATGAATTCTATCTTCTATTCCAATGCTATGTTAGCCTATTAAAGAGGGACTAAGAATATTTCTAAATTTAGAACCCTTTTATTTTATTTTATTTTGGCTCCTAAGAATCTTTACTGCATGGATATAGCTTGTTTTGTTTACAAGTACTTAACTGGGTGCAAGGTTGACTTTCTAACATATCCAATGGATAAAACTATAGATTGGGAGAACATATTTGTGTGCCATTTGTTTCAATTCAGGATCTCTCATTCAAAATCTAAAAGATCGTGTTTCAATTGTATATTGGCTTGAGATTCAAGGAGAAAAGCTTAACTTCAATCAAAGTAGACAAAGGTCCTAACCTTTCATTTATTAATTTTGTTAAGACTGGGGATGATAAGATAAGTTTAGTCTACACTTCAGGGGTCATGCGAAAACTATATTTAAATGAATAAATATAGCTATGGGTTTAACTTCAATTACATTTTAGACTTTACTAAAATTTAGAGCTGGCCTAAACATGGGATTTTGGGATGGGTTATATTTTTTTTTTGAACCAATTTTATAAACTAGAATTTTTTTTTCTTTTCTTTTCTTTTCTTTTTTTTTTTGGAAAAAAAAAAAAGGCACCATTAGGCATGGTCTATAGACTAATTTCTTAAAGTAGGTATGCCCCTAAATGTAGTCTCTTTTAAGCAATTTTTACTTTCGGCGATTTGATTAGCATGCACAATACCTACTTGACATTGTCCTGCTTTTTTGTCAAGCACATGATGGAAAAATGAATTCGACGTGCATGTGAAATGACGTGTAAAAGATATATACTACTTAAACTTAATCTACTTTATAGTCTTTTTCTTCTTTCCATTATTTTTTGCAGTTGAGAAAAATTAGGAAGGACGTGAAACAACAGCCGCGACATACGAAGTTGTAAGTTCTATGTGTATTTAATTTAAAGTAATATAGCATTAGTAGATTGTTCTAGAAAAAGACAAAGCATTTTGTTCATTGATTATTATGCTACTCTTCATTTGTCAAAACAATGCCTCCTTAGCAATTGCAGATATGGTGCTGAGATTTCTTTGCCTGGCCTGTCAATGGTCGATTTTATATCATCGTGATACCTAATTTGTGGAGAAAATTTCATGATACCTAATTTGTCTTAATTGGGTCTTCAAACTATTTGTTCTTAAAATAACCATAATACCTAATCACACTGGTGAATAAATTATTTTATATACAATGTGCTGATAATTTGTACTGCTTTTATTCACCTTTATCACTATTGAGTAACAATGCTTTCCACTCTAACATTCTCACAAGTGGACATCCTTTCAATACTTTTCAGTAATTAGGATTGTGATAGTTATTGAAATCATGTGCCATATAGTGCGTAGAGATTGAAATATATTGCTTTACAACTAGTTCATAGGGACACCATCCCTTAGCTGTCCATATGAAGTTACTCTTTGCTGGGCAGTGGCTTTCCTTCATTATAAACTAGCTGTGACTTGCATCATATTGGACATACTAAAAGGAACTTAAGAGAAAGCTCTTACTTTGTCCGTTATATAAATTGTGAACTGATATCCGATATAAACTCGATTTTCGATTAAAAAAAATGTATAAATGAGCAAGTATAATTATTTTCAAAATTTTTCACTCACACTACAACATCTTCTACTTTTTATAACATTTAATCATAACATTCTTATTAGAAATGCTATTAATTAAATA